AATTTTCGTCATCCTCGGTATTTTCGTGTTAAGTTAACGATATTCTTGATAATCAGTATGTTCGCAGCACAATGTCGAAAAAGCGTTTGATGTAATCGATTGTAATAATGCTTATTAAGATTAAATACCTTAATGTGAAAAAATTTGTTTTCTGTGTGGAAATTAACACCGTTTTCTGTGTGGAAATTCACACCGCAACAATGCGAATTATTCACACCGAACAAACTGTTGATTTTACACCAACATGGTGAGAATTATATAGATATCCATATTGGTGTCAAATTCCACACCATCGGTGTTAAAATGACACCGACATTTTTTAGAGTGTAACATCAGAAATTAAACTCAAAATTAATCTCGCTTTTATATTTCTATCAAAATTACAACCGATTTCTTTACGGTATTTATTACATATTACGAAATGTAACATTGATAAACACCAAAGATATGCTTAATCGTCTATACTTACAGATAATAAGAGTTTAGTGTCAAAGCAAATTAGCCTTCTGTTCGGTTTCCTATTTGTTATCCATTTGCTATACTTCAAATAGCTTTGTACATTTTTGGAAATGAGAGAAAGAAACAAAGGAGAGAAAAGATAGATAGCTATACATATACAGGATATCATTAACTGATTAAATCACCCATTATGAGCAGATAGAGTGAACCGAACTGAATCGAAAAGTCCTATACCATTTCGCAATTTTCGCAATAGTTAACAAGATATTAATTACTAAAAATGGCCGAATATTGATCTTCAATAATTTTTTTCTCAAATACTATCAACTTTACAGAAAAACTGTAAGAGACAAAAATTGTTTATTTTCTTTTTATAAAGTTCTGAGAATTTTTTCAGAATTTTTTAATACTGTATTTTCTCATGATAATAAAAATAAGAAAATGCAGTACTAAAAAATTGATACAAAATTCTGAAAAAATTCTTAGAGTTCTATGAGAAGAAAACAAACAATTTTTGTCTCTTACAGTTTTTTTGTAAAATTGATAGTATTTGAGAAAAAAATGATTGAAGATCAATATTCGATTAATTAATATCTTGTTAACTAATGCGAAAATTGCGAAATGGTAGAGGACTTTTCGATTCACTCTACCTGCTCATGATGGGTGATTTAATCGGTTAGTGACCTTTATAAGACAAATGATTATTTCAGTAACATTGTTGTGTCATGTTTTGTCTATGTATCTGTTATCTCCTTTTATATATAATTATATTTTTTTATCCATTTAGCCAAACTCTTATTGTAGGATTTCTAGTATGACATTTACACAGGCCTGACGAGAGGGGGGGGGAGGGGCGGGGTGATTTCCCCCGGGCCCGGATTTTTTGAGGGGCTCAGATTTTTTGAGGATCCCGATTTTCTAAATGCTCATTGTTTTCGAAACAATAGAGCGCGTTCAAGTTTGTAAAGCAGCTAGCCTGCTCACCGAGCGATTGAACATGATTAGTTCTTACCTATGGAGCCAACCAATCATGTTCAATCGCTCGGCAAGCAGACCTAGCCGCTTTGCCAGCTTGAACTCGCCTATAGTTTCTTATTTTTTGTAAAAACATTCTAAATTGGTATAGATTACGAATAAATAAATTTATGTAATATATAAATAATATATAAAAAAATAACTTTATCAATCCTACCAGATTACTTTTGAACTTCTTCCAGCTGATGTATAATCTAAAGAATAATTGCGGAAAACAAATTAATTATTATTTAATCGGAAATTTTTAGAAAGAAATTATATTATGAAAGTAAAAAATGAGAAAATTTGTTTTGATCAACAAAATATTTTAAGAATAAGAAAAAAGTTCGTATATTCGTTTCTGAAAATTGATTGCAAAATCCAGAAAATATTAAATAATCAAATAAATGTTTATGGTATTTAAAATTTATTTTAAAATTTAAAATTCATTTTAAAAATTTGAAAATGTTTTATAAAATTAAAGTACGATAAACATTAGTATAGTCAAAAGCGCTAAGAATAAATCAAACAATAAGAGAAAACTGTCTAATGCGGTCTAAAGCGGATCTTGGTGCTCGATAATATTTATACGTGAATTTTACAAAATCTGCTAAATCTGCCGCTCCTGGTTGGGGGATTAATACCTGCGCGAAATAGGGGCCCGTAATTTTTTTCTCTCGGGCCCGGTTTTTCTCTCTACGGCCCGGTTTTTCTCTCTACGACCCTGCATTTACACGCCGCTTTTCATTTGCTTCCAGAATCAAGATTACAACAAAACGTGGCGAAATTGCTGCGAATCAGTTATATAAAATTAGCAGGATCAAATCAGCAGAATCAAATCGGATCTATCGGAATTTTTAGTACTCATTTTGTACTAAATTGTATCATTAATGATAATTTTGTACTGTGTGCCATTTCGAAAAAAAATCGTGGCGCTGCTAGCTTAATATTAAGCTGGCAGAACCAATTCAAAATAAAAGAAAAAAGAAAAATAATATCAGAAATCAATGGGAATTTGTACTATTTTGTACTATTTTGTACTACCAAAAATAATTTTATATTATGTGTCATTTCCAAGAAAACAGTGGCGCTGCTAATTTAATATTTAAGCTGGCAGGATCATAAAAAAAAACACAAAGACAAAAATTAACACAAATAAATACCAATTTGTAGCATTGAAAGTAAATTAATATTTTAGATGTTTTCTCCTTAAAATGACTTTATTACTCTCTAAAAGTGAATCGCAGTGTATTATCACTGACTTCAGTGCCACACTTATAACTGTAATATCAGCGAATATTTATTGTTTTTCAATAATAATACACTGATTCATTTTGAGAAGTTATAATTTCTATAGATTGAATCTGCAGAAAATCATAACCTCTAAAGTGAATCAGTGTATTACTACTGAAAAACAATAAATATTCACTGGTGACTTCAGTGCTACACTTATAACTGATGTAATCAGAAATAATACATTAATTCACTTTTAGAGAGTAGTATATACTTACAATCTATCTTACATTCCACGTCAAACTGGGCACCTTTGAAACATCGTCAGTTAATTTTTTTTAAAATTTGCTAAAATATTCTACAGATAAAAACATGAGACATATGTTTCTCGAAAAAAATTTGAGATTTTTTTGTGTAATTAAATGTTAATATGGCTCAATTAGAATAAATCAATAAATAAAACAAGGGCAAACGAGCCAACTACAATATAAGATCTTTAATAAACGTATATATATACAATAATCAAACGTTTCGACACCGATCGGGTCATTTTCAATGTACAATAACAAAACATCTTACAAAATAATCAGAAATTCAGTTTTTTTTGTGTAGTTATTCACGCTTCTAAGTTGCAGAAATTCATAAAAAACGTCGCTCATGCGAATATTCATCAAATTATTATATTGTCGAACTATTATAGTCGTGGAAAAAAATACAAGAGACCGATTTTAAAGATCTTAAATTGATCTATGGATGAGTTATTTTGTTTACAGTTTTTATCAACATTTTTTATGAATTTCTGCAACTTACAAGCGTGAATAACTTCACAAAAAATATCTCGAACTTTTTACGCGAAACACGTGTCTCATGTTTTTATCTGTAGAATGTGTAGCAAATTTAAAAAAAAATAAAATGATGCTTCAGAGGTGCCCGGTTCGACATGGAATGCCTTATAGATTGTCTGTATATACTAATAAAATCGTTTTAAGGAGAAAACACCCTGGCGGAAAAAAAATTTTTATGAAAAAATACAGAAACATTACATAATTGAGACTAAATCTTAAAAATTTTTAATTCTTCGTAGATATTTGTAGTGGGACGTAGAGTGAGATTTGTTTATCTTATTGTTAGAGGTTTTTAGTTTTTCGTAGATATTTGTGGGATGTAGAGTGGCGTTGTTTGAGGGCGGAGGATTTGTAGGTTTTTCAAAGAAACAACGTCGCTGTACGTTCCACTATGAATATCTATAAAAAATTAATAATTTCTAAAATCTTATCTCAATCTATGTAGTTTTTCGTAAAACATTTCCGCTAGGGCATATAAAATATTATCTTACTTTCAATAATACAAATTAGTACAAATTCAGTTGTGTTAATTTTTGCCCTTGTGTTGTTTTTTTTATGGTCCTGCCAGCTTAAATATTAAATTAGCAGCGCCACTGTTTTCTTGGAAATGACACATAATATAGAATTGTTTTTGGTAAGATAGAGCGGGGCTAGTTGTGACACTTTTTTTTTTAATTAGTATAAATCTTCACACAATTATGATAGACTACTGGTAAATCATGGCTTTAAAAAAACGCTGCATGTTCATCTGACTCAATAATTAAATATTTATAAATCCTTAATATATCTCGTAAATAAGAAAAAATTATGTTAATTACAAAGATGCAAAGTAAACCAACGTGACCCACCTATGGAGTATATTGAGCATCCTCGAAAGATAAGTTGAGCCATGAAGATAATCGTTTAATGAGGTTATATATATTATTAAAAACATGAAAAGATTATGCGTATATTAATCAAATTTTTATTATTTTCATCTTAAATATAATAATTTGTAATATTCTTTCTTTTAAAATGCTTCAATTAATAAAATTAGAAAGACTAAAATCTTTACTCTTTATAATAATAATTAAACGTAAAATATATGTTTAACCGTTAACATAGAATAAAAAGCATTGATAAAGATAGATTTCATTAAAGTAGCTGAGTTTATAAGGTTTATGAGATGGCCCAACAAGCCCCATATTGGTGTTGACTGAAATACTTTTTTATAACTGAAAAACCTGTAAATAAAAAGTAACTTGAACATTACAGTTAAAAAATACGATAATAACATATATTACAACCAAAAACACATTTGATTGTTATTAATCGCTTTACCATGTAGACCAAAAAGAATACTCACCTAATAATTTTACTTTTGATATACGAAAACGAAAAAGCGCATGTATTTGACTGTTGACAGTCGGACACAGATTATTGTATTAAGGCACAGTAATCTCTGTCTTTGTGCTACATTATGCAAGCATAGACTATCTATATATATTTTGATTATTTAGATATTTGCATTTGACCAACTTGCCTCTATGCTCAAATAGTCCCGCTTTACCCTAGTGCAAAATAGTACAAATTCATTCCCGTTGATTTCTGATATTTTTCTTTTTTTCTTTTATTTTGAATTGGTCCTGCCAGCTTAATACTAAGCACCGCCACAATTTTTTTCGAAATGGCACACAGTACAAGATGATCATTAATGGTACAATTTAATACAAAATGAGTACTAAAAATTCCGAGAGATCCGATTTGATTCTGCTGATTTGGTCCTGCTAGTTTTATAGAGCTCTGTGAATCATGTTGCGAATGGAATACGCGAATTTTTCTAATATACAGCATTTTATTAATTTTTATTCTTCATAATTTTATATCTGTGTCACAATTCGAATTTTTTTGGTATATCTTAATGCATAATGTTAGAGTTAATGCATCAACAATTAAAAATTTTCTCTGATTTTGTGTTTTCAGTGCATCGGCCATCTCAGTCAAGCTCATATTAATCCAGCCGTCACTGTAGGAGCTGTCATTCTTGGGAAAAAAACCATTCCTGAGGCTTTAGTTTACTTTGTGTCACAGATGATGGGTGCTATTCTGGGTTATGGTATGTTGAAGGTCGGTGTAAGCAAATCTAGTTATTCTTTCATTGAATTAATTACAATTAATTACTGACAAAAAATATGTATAGTGATCAATAATTGTCGCAAACATTACAACGTGATTTAGCAAAGTTGAATTTAGAAATTAGAAATATACGTACAAAAAAATCTGTATAAATTATGGCGTAACTTTAAATTTATTTTTTCTTTATGAAAAAGCAAAAGAATTTTATGTGTTAAAACCCGAAAATTATAGATGTAATTATAGATGTAATTCAGAGTAATGGGTATATTTCTTTACAGTTTATCAAATTTTATAGTCATGTTTATAATAAAATTTATGATGCGCGTGAAACGGAGCCATTCATGGAGCATTAATTTCCATTTTTTTTTAATAAATAAATTTCTAATAGAAAAATTTCTATTAAATAAATTATTTGAAACCACATAAAATTTCTCTCGAATTTCTAAATCTAAAATTTTCTTTTAATTATATAGTAAAATTATATAATAAAATTTATGATGCACATGAAATGGAGCCATTCATGGAGCATTAATTTCCATTTTTTTCTAATAAATAAATTTCTAATAGAAAAATTTCTATTAAATAAATTATTTAAAACCACATAGAATTTCTCTCGAATTTCTAAATTTAAAATTTTCTTTTAATTATATACAGGGTGTTCAGCGTAACGATCCGCACAACTTTTCGGCACTTCCGACAGTTAAAAAAAAAGTTGAAAGGTGTATATTTATCTGTTTCATATAGGCTACAACATGCAATAAAAAAAAATTCTTTTTTCATAAAAAAATCAAAGTCATGTTAAATTTTTTAAATGGCACCATACCATTTTTTTCTATAATATTGTAGAGATCTTCAAGACAGATTTAAATTACTACCGAAATGTCACTTTTATTAATGTTTTATTGATACTTAATATCAAATTCGCATCATTATCTATAACAGCAGTGCTTACTACTTCTGATTAGACACAGAACATAAACATACACTAAAAAAAGATTGGCTGCTGCAGTAAATTAGATGGTAAAATATGGCATAGCATTTTTAATTGGCTGCAGCAGCCAATCTTTTTTTTCAGTGTACATACATACATAAGTTACAGTTTTTCTTTATTGATTTATGCTTATAATACAATAGTATTCTTTGCTAATGGATATTTATGATAGGGTAAACCCGCCACACTGGGATTTACGCCGCAGAAGTCAGAAAAAATAGAAGGAGTGGGGGTAATTGTCTCGCAACTACTCTGTTACACGTCTTTATGTTATATTAGTATTGAGTTATAATTTCAGCTTCTTGTTACTGTTAATATTAATGAAATTATTGTGAGTTGAATCGATTTGTCACTGTAATAAGTAGCGCCATCATAAATTATAATCTACATAAAATGATT